AGCCGACAGGTATCTCAAGCTATCAGAATACATCAACAACATTAGTATAGAATATCAGTAACAACCTATGACGAGTAGATAGATTGAATAAATTAGGTAACAAAAAGTGTCTTTCGCACTGATTGCATCACATATGCAAAGTTAAAACCTGGAGTATGGAATGGAAGACCGTTATCGGGGAGGGAATACGCCATTCGTGGGAATTGCAAAGTGATACTACATGGTCGACATGACAAGTTTCCAATTTTAGTCAATATCAATAACTTAGAAGAACTGGTCAAATTAGGTGTCTCCAACGTCTAGGAAAGCACCTACAGCACCAAGATATCCTTCGTGCTTCATGAATAGCGCCTCCATGTTGCCCTAGAGATTCGAAATATTAAAATATTGATTTTTTTGAAGCGGACAAAATCTGAAAACTAACCTTGCTCCAGTAGTTAATGGCATATGACAACGTTCGCATGGTGATGGGGTGTTTTCGGATAAAGAAACCTCCGAAGTATATCCGCTTCATGGCAAATCTCATACCATAGAGCATAGCCATCTACAAATGGACGACATACTTTCGAGAAAAAATAACTCAAAAATTTCACGAAAAAAATGAATTTTCTGCGGCCCGCAAAAAATTATTAAAACGTACGATTGACTCAGCCAGTACCTGTCCAATATTATTACTGATCATTAACAATAATGATTTAGCAATATCTTGTTCTGATGCTCGTTCTTGATCCCCTCGAGCTCCCCGTTTACCCATACGACTGCATTTGCCAAACGAACCAGCAATGAGATCAGCTGCTAAGTTCAGATTCTCGTAAGAGCCACCGTATATATCACAAACCTGCAATAAAATTTCCGTGAAATTACAGAAAAAATTCAGAATTTGACGAACTTACAAGTGTGTCACATTTTCGGTGATCGCCCTTCTCTGCCATCAACAACAGTTCATCGAAGCCTACAAACAGTAACTCGTTATTTTTCTCCTAAATAACATGCGAAATTTCAAGGCTCACTTTGCGCTGATGTCAGCAGATTTCCAAGCCCAATAAATGCTCCACCTCCCATAGAGCTACCACCAACCCGTTGAAATTGTGACGGAGAGTCAACCTGTAATTATTAAAATCGATTCATAGTGTTGGAATAACACATTCGTTAAAAAAAATGAGTTACGCTTTGTAGAATTAGAACTACCTTCAACACTGAGATTCCTGTTCCGATATTTACTAGAAGGAAGGGATAGATGGAATCTGCCGCAATAGGTTTGTACTGATACCTAAAAAGAGCACCGTAGTCGTGCGAATGACATGATAACTTTCTTCCACATCCATTTTTCCGCATGGTCAGACAACTCGAAAGGAAACGATTTGGTTGCTTTAAAATATGTGAGTTTGAACCAGCATGAATAGCTCAATCAATCTGATTCGAAATCCGCATACTTTGGGCTATCACCATAACTTTGCAAGGAGATGCGCTCTATCATTTTATTGACTGAGCCATAGTCAATCAAGATTTTTTTGCAAAGGGAACCGTAATAAAGTAGAAAAGAAGCGTTT